CCCATCTTCCTCTGTGAGACAGGGTTTTCCTGTCAGATGCTGGCCTTGAACTTGATCCTCCTCCCCTCCCCTCTCCTCCCATTTGCTAGGATTGCAGGTGTTTGCCTCCGTGCCTGGCTTTAGCTCTCTTCTTTTAAGCAGCATTTGCAGCTGGTGGATTGTACTGCACTGTGTTTCCAGCTCTAAAGAGGGAATTCATTTCAATCAAGTCTCCCAGAGAAACAAGCATCGCGTACAAAATAAACTGCTAAAAACTAATACAATTTATTTTGCTTGATGATATAAATGCTAGCATCCCCCAACAACTCTAGGGAGATTTCACTAATGGATTGGAGATACAGCTCAGAGGACAAAGTGCTTACTTAGCATGCATAAGCCCCGGGTTTCCACCAACAGGACCGGATAAACTGAGTGTGGCAGCACAGGGCTGTAATCCTAGCACCCAGGAGGTGGAGGCAGGAGGATCACAAGTCTGTAGAGCAAGTTTGATACTACATCAGACCCCACCTCAAAAAGAGGGCCTAGATTTACAATACTTTTTATAATTTCCTAAATATTGGTTTAAAAAAATATTCAAGCCAGGCAGTGGTGGCGCACGCATTTAATCCCAGTGTTCAGGAGGCAGAGGCAGGCGGATCTCTGAGTTTGAGGCCAGCCTGGTCTACAGAGTGAGTTCCAGGACTACATACAGAAAAACCCTGTTCCAAAACAAAACAAAACAAAAATCTCACATTCTTTCTCAAAATATCTAGTTGATAAACTTTCATCATATTTGGTATTAATGTCCAATCTGTGTCTATTTAATTACTTAAAAGTTAACTTTACCCTAAGTGCAAATTAACAGCATCCTTTAACCTCATTATTTATTATAGTTTTAAATTTTTATTAAATCTTGGAGAATTTCATCCATGCAAACAGTATTTTACTCTGCCCTGTCTGCTTCCCTGATTCTTCCCAGATCTGCCTTCCATGCCTCTCACTCCGTCCCAACATGTCCTCTTTTTTTTAAACCTCACTGAGTTGGAATTGTGCTGTTCATACACTCATGGGTGTGGGGACATCTGTTGGATCATGGTTAACCTACCAGGGCCCACACCATTAAAAAACAAAGAAAGAAAGAAACCCCCAACCCGACTCTCCCTCTCCCAGAAGCCACCAACTAACAGTAGTTCTTTATTGAGGGTTGGGGCCCTTTAAGCCTCTCCCTCCTCCCTGCTGGACTGGTTTGCTCTTGTACAGGTCTTGAGTAGTTGCTGTGAATGGATGAGCCCTTCGGTCCTGTTTTGTTCTGGTCCTCTCTGTCTATGTCTCTTACACTGTTTCTGCTCCCTCTTCTGAGGTGGTTCCTGAGCCTTGGTGGAAGAGGAGGGATAATACTGACTCTCCATTTGTGGTTGGGCACATCTGACTCTCCACTCCAGTAGTTGTGAGTTTCCACCTTAACCACCATCCACCACACAGAGGAGCCTCTCTGCCGAGGACTGAGAGCTGCGCTAATCTATGGGTAGAGAGATAAGAATTTAGAGGGCAGTTTGATACTACGTCTGGTTAGCAAAATAGTAGGTTTTCCTTGGGGACTGTACCCTCTCCAGCCATAGGTTTTCAAGCAGATTTATAGTACCAGATGTTGGTTTCTTCCCAAGGAGTGGACTTAAATACAATAAGAAGGCAGTGGGTTATGCCGACAACTTTTGTTCCTCTGTTGCATACATGGGCATATCCAGAGAATGAGCTTTTTACCATGCCATGCCCACTGGCATGCACAAAACCTTTGAAACCACACACAACACAGATCTCCCTCTCTTAAACTCTTCATGACAGATATTTTGTCACAGTGACACAGAAGTAATTAATACAAACCATAAATAGGCAGCTGTTTCCTGCTGACTTCAGTTGTTCAACACATGAAGTAGGTAAGAAGATCTATCTTTCCAAGGTAAAGCTAAGGCTCGTACGTATGAACATTTGAGAGAATGCTCTAGTGCTAACACTGAGTGAAAATGGCATTCCTTGCATTATTAGTGCTATGGTGCAGTGAGGTATGGTAAGAATCCATATCATCCCAAGATAACTGATTCACCCAAGCTCAGGCATTCCAGAGGCAAGGGCGAAGCAGGGCCTTATTATATGGCCTTCCTAAGCACCCAAGATGTGAGCCCTGTCTTGGCTGGAGCACGGTGCAGGTAAGGCTCAGGTTTGGAGAAGCCTGCAAAGGATGCTCAGGTTCTTAAGCACCAACAGGATGTTCTCAGGCTACCTCCTCACAATCCAAGGCCACTGTAACCTCTCTTACCTCTTCTTCTTTGAGGCAAGGTCTCACATGTAGCACTGGCTGGCCTGGAACTCATTACGTAGATCAGGTTGGCCTGCCTCTGCCTTCCAAGTGCTGGGATTAAGGAGTGTACCTTTTAAAACACTGGCTTGACCTAGAGTTTAGAAGAGCAGACAGAGCTCTGCTTCGCATGTGGCCCATCTCATTCCTGTTTTTGTCACGGAGCACAGGGGAAGCTATATAACTTTGGAGACTTTACTGTCTTGAGGCAGGCATAGGGAATATCTTAGCAACCTGGGACTCCCCTTGGCTTGGGCTATACACACAATCTCTTTAAAAAATGTACCTAGCAACTGGGACCTGTGTCTAGCTGTATACCTATATATATGTATACCTGCTTTAAGCAATGGAAATGATGACTCCTGTTAGCATCTTCCTGATGACGCCCCATTTTTATGGAACTAGGGCCAATAGACCCATCTAGCCTAGACTAGTTTGGAATAATGTGCAATAAAGCCCATGTATATTGGAGCAAGCATATTACTGAACTCAGACACATTATGGGAAAGAACATGTATAAGTGAGCAATGGCCTACCCAATCCAAGCCTGTCAATCAAAATAGAGAACACATACTTCATTCAAACCACAGAACTGTATAGTTGGTCTTTCCCTCCGCTTCTTCTGCCTTCTATGCTTTTGCAGTGCGGGGAAACAAACTCTGGTCCTTATGCACACCAAAGAAGCGCTCTAAGACTGACCTACATGCCCAGCTTTGTGTGTGTGTGTGTGTGCGTGTGTGTGTGTGTTTGCCTTAGAAACCAAAAACAAAAAAACCAAGGTCTTGGTTTGCAGCTCAAGATGGCTTGAAATGAATGAATTTCCTTCCTCCAACTCCCAAGTGCTGGGAATACACGCATGTACCATCGTACCTGCTACCACCTGTATCTCTTGCAATAGTATTTGATTTGGAGCCCACCTATGCATTTGAATTCCAACTCCTCTGATTATCAATAGGTGACCCGGGACAAGTTATTTAAGCTCCCTTGGCCTCAATTATTCCACTTACAAAATGGGGTTAATGAGTGCCTTGTGTGCATGCTATGGCCAGAATGATCAATAGCTTTGCATGTCACTTTTAAAAAAAAGATTTATTTTTTATTATGTGTACGCATATGTCTGAGTATGGAGTATTCACATGAATGCAGATGCCTGAGGAGGCCAGGAGGGGGCATCAAATTCCCTGGAGCTGAAGTTATAAGTGGTTGTGAGCATCCTAATCTGGGTTCTGGGAATTCAACCCAGATCCTCTGGAAGAGCATCTCTCCAGCCCCAGTCCTGATTTTTGTTTAAATGCTAGTTACTTAGTATATGAAGTTATGAAAGAAAACAAGTTGAAATTTTGTTTCTTTTCTCCTCTCTCTCTCTCTCTCTCTCTCTCTCTCTCTCTCTCTCTCTCTCTCTGATAAAGCAATGGTAAAGAAGGTTTCCATGACAACAAACTGACAACTCTACACACAGGACATTTCAAAGGTCAGGAGCACCGCTAGGTTCACCCTTTCAAGTTCAAAGTTCCAGCTCTTTCTCTGTAACGCAGGACCCCAAGCTTGCTGGAGCAGATCACCAGCCCTCACAATGCCCCTCACAGATGTACAGAAAACTGGGGGTGATTAAGAGCTTGGTAAACAAAGAGGAAGCCTATTCCAAATAGTGACTCTGCACAAACAGCTCTCCCAGGGCCTGACAGAAGCCAGCTGCACTCACTCGGGCACCAACAAGGTGTCTCCGGGCGAGTCAGCTTTTCCCTCTTCTACAGCTGGCTTTGGCCCTGAGTGACTTTCCACGGTCAAGAACAGGACAGTAGAAGAACTTGGGAGCAGAGGCAGGACCTCACTTCTCTTGCAGCCTCAGGGCTGCTGGCCTTTTTGCTGCCTCTACCCACAGAGGGGAAACAGGAAGTACCTCTGCCCTCTGAGATCATCCAAGCCACAGGAAGGATCTCACAGCCATTGCTGTTTTGACTTTTATACTGTCTGCTCCCTTCCCCCTACCTTTTTTTTTTTTTTTTTTTTTTTGGCTGTTGTTCCATTTTGTCTTGGGATAAGGTCTTTACTATGTAGCCTAGGCTGGCCTCAAACTCGATATCCTCTTCCCATGACCCACTGAATGCTGTGATGACTACAGGTGTATCCTACCACATCTGGTTTCTCTTTTCTTCTCCTGCCATGCTGGAGAAGTTAGCTGAGTTAAAAGTGAGTTAGTGCCTATAACACATAGTTAACAGGAGTTGGATGCCGGAGAAAGAGGAAAGGATCCAGAACTTCTCCTTTCTCTCCCTCCAGGCTCCTTAGATCCCACAAAGCCTCAGACCCCTGTTAAGACCATGGTGACACTCCTGGGCTAACCATCCCAAGGCAGAGCAAGGTGGGCACCAGGGTCCCAGCAAATCTAAAATGATGTGAAGCAGGGCTCCTCTGAGGGTCTTGGCATAGGCAGCTGTGCCTTGTTTATTTTCCATGCTGATGCTCTTTCCCAGACTGTAGTTATCTTAAACAAGACAACTAAAGTAGTCCGTGAAGCTGTTGCCAGGGCAACATGACAAAGGGCTTCGCCCTTTGCTGTGGTGTACGTAATTTGTCAGAAGCAGCTGGTGCAAAGGGAAAAGGAAGGGTAGGGCTGTCACACTGGGTCCTGCAAAGGAAACTTAGAGGACTTTCTTCTGTTAAAGCAACTCTTCCGTAGAGTAGGAGAAAAGAATATTCATGACCTGTGTGATAAAAATTCAGAAGTAGAGCTAGCAAGACGGTTCAGTAAGTCCAGGGGCTTGCTGCCAAGCCTGATGACCCACATTCAATCCCCAGGACTAACAAGGGGTTAAGAAGAGAACTAACTTGTGAGTTGTCCTCTGACTTCCAGATGTTCACTATAGAATGTCCACACCCACACACATACACTTACTAAAGCTATAGGATACTGCATATAAGCTTCTTAAAGACTTAGAGCTTAAAGTATGCTCTAAGGGGAAGGACTAAGACAAAAGACAAGAGATTAAAGAAAGCACCCAGAACATTCGAGAACATTTAGACAAACACATAATAGTGGGACTTCTGATCAAGCCTACTATATCTTCTCTCATAAATCATAGCATGCCATGGTCTATTTACTTATCCTGTAACCAGCAACAGAGCCCAGACGACTCACAGAGACCAAGTTCAACTCACTCAAGATTTTTGGTAGACACATCAAAGCCCATGACAATCAGCCAGCCAGGAAAAGACAGAACTAGGCCCACGGCCATTGCTGCTTCCCCACGGTCTTCCCACTCCTCTGTGGCCTTCATCCCTGTGTTCTAATCTTTCTCTGAAGGATGTGACTGAGACCAGCTTTCAAAGGGTGCCCCATGGAGAGATGAGTCACAAGTGCCTTGGGTACCCCTATTCACCACAGAACGACCCAAGTTCAGTCCTGTTTTCTATTTCTTTGGCCCTCAGTGAAAATTATTTATGACAACAATCAATCAGGGAAAAAAAATCAGAGGTCATCAGTTTAAAGAGCAGAACCTTATTTGTTTGTTTATTTGTTTATAGATGTAGGCTTCACTATGCATCCTTGGCTGGCCTTGAACTCACAGAGGTCAGCTTGCCTTTGCCTCCCGAGTACTAGGATTAAAGATGTGTGCCACCACACCCAGCCTATGAATTTTATTTAAGTTTTGAAAAGACTCATTATATTATATTTAAGTATGTGTGTATACGTATAGGTCTGTGCATATGAGTGCCCGAGGAATCTAGAGATGCCGAATCTCCCGAGAGTGAGAGTTCTAGGTGTCTGTGAGCAGCCCAAGGCTGGATCTC